CCTCAGGGAAGTGATCGGCGATGGCGACCTCTCGCGTCCGGGCCTAGTGCAGGCCATGATGCGGAGCGAGGGGGATTGGGATGCCGTCTCCTCCTTTTGCGAAGCAGTCATGCTAGCTAAGGAGGAGGCGGGACGCGTGAGGCAGCGAAGCACTGCCTCCTCGCAACCCAGCCATCGCTAAGGACACACCGGGCGTCGGGGATCGCGGGACGATCTCCGGCCACCGTAAGCGCGGGCCTGCGGACGGCGAGCATGGGTGGCTCCCCGTCCGACCAGAAACAGACCCAAGCGCGCGGCAAAGAGCCATCAGACCACCACGGCATCGGCCCAATAGGGCCGATGCCGATTGTCGAAGAGTCGCGGAGAACCTAACGGGTAACCGGGGCTCCGGCTCGAAGTGCAGATGTAGGAACGGGGTGATTTTTAGTCAGTAAGAGTCTGACACTCCCTTCCGCCTCACCCAGGCGGGAGCAGTCATTCGATGATTTTCACCCTTAAAAAAAAAGTATTGTAGCAATTGGCGTTCCGTAATCTCTTGATCAGGAGCTGTTTCTGATGATTCGCACATAGACACATTCGCATGGAGATCTTGTCTAAGGCCCATCTTCATGTCATTGTCGTTATTTCTAATAGAAAATGCTTGCAGTGAATTGGCAAATGTGTACTACAAATAATCCGGGCGAAATTATAATCTGCAACGTCTCGATCAGTATGCATGCAGTGCTAAATGGAATTCCGATTTCCATTTTGGGAGACAGATGTGAAGTTATGTATGTTTGTTGCATGGAGTCTGGAATTGTGCCCTGTATATGGCAATAGGCTCACCCCCTATATGGGCCTTATAACACAAATAGTAAAAGCTATTTAAAAATAAAGTTATTTGTTAATGTTATGTTAATTTTGGTTTGCCTATTGTTATTATTTGTTAATAGTAAGTAAGTGATTGTTTATTAATTAATAAATAAACAAACAATTAGTAGGTAATGGCTCAGTCCACGAGATTAATTAATTATATTATTAAACAAAATTAATAGATTATTTCATATATATTATAGCATAATAATTTTTAATATTAAAAAATTGTTCAGATCATAATTTGATACAGATGTTCATAACTTTATTTTTTCCATGAGAGATTGATTATGTCCTTCAACATTGAATTGTATGAAAATATTCAAGAAGATTGCTTGAGCAGATAAAGTGTACAGAGATAACTAACAACTATCGGATTTATAATATTGCTTACGGTTGAAACAAACCGAATATGTACTTAGAGTATTAAAATATAAACAATAAAAGAAATTACAAATAGTACACCTATAAGAATCTAGTTGGATTTATTTCATTTTATTTGCATGTTCTACCTTAAATAAGCTATATATCACAGTAATTAATATTCATAATATACTCTTAACATTAGGAACTGACTAAATATAGATTTAATATAAGATTTTGTAAAGATAAATTAACGATAACGATATCGTACAAAAACGGGCAAAATACTTACAGGAACAGCCTTCAATCCACAGTTGGTATATTTCAGGATCAATAAGAGTATAATTACTAACGAATACATCAACTTCTGTGTACATTTCTTTATATTTTTATTAATTTTTCGTAACCCAAAACCAGATCACTATTTATGTCCAAAATATGATTTTGACACTGACGTTCAAAGCACAATGTTGCATAAACTAAAAATAAACGGATAAGTTTAAAAAATATGGATTACAATTAATACACTTTCAATTTTATAATAATAGCATAAAGTGTAAATTTTATTGATTAGATTCACGATTTTCTGACCGAATTTCGTCAAAGTTGAGCATCATGTTGACCGGCCCCGCAGTGTAATCCTCTCTTATATTGGAGAGTGAAGTTAGCAACAATATCAGTCATTTGCTAATGTTATTGACAGATCTGTTAAGTTTGTTCTGAAACCACGACCAAAAGAATTTTTTTAACAATTGAAATAAATAAAACACATTTTTATAATCATTTATTGACAGACAGTGAGTACTGGAAAATTTATTCCATTTTATTTTTATGTATTTAATGGTATACATTATAAAAATATCTGTTTTGTTGATATTATAGATGTTAATTTATCGGAATAAAAAAAGAACTCAAGAAAAAAATGTTAATCAAACGTTTTCGAACACATATCAATACGATTGATTTTTCTCAAGTTCGCGATCATAAAATTTAATAAAAAATCTATGAAATAAATGTGATTTTGAATCATAAAATAATTATGTAAGTACACATAAACATTGATTATACTAACAACATTGAAAAACACTAAATAAAACCTGTACTTTACTTGTAAATTCAGTGTTAAAGCGTCGTAGTTTTTTTTGTTAAGTCCAAAAATAGACATGTCTGGTTTCAACCACGGTTATTCGCGTTATTTGTTGTTAATAACAGGTAGTAGATTGCTATTAAGTTCCACAATGAGTTTTATGTTGATAGCGACCGCTTATCGGCTGAGTAACCGGCAATAACAATATTGGTTTTGTACTTGCAGTACTGATTTCAAATCCTGTGACTTTCGGAATGTTCTTATTTTCATCTCAAATGAGATAAGAGATGTAATAAGTTTTGAGATTAAATTGACATTTCGGTTAGTTTTTTTTGTTATAAGTTATTGTTTTATTACTGACTAACCCGTGACTTCGTCCGCATATAATATGAATTTTAGAACACAACTTTTTTATTTTAACTTTCCAAAATAAAGCCTATGTTACTCCTTAGTACATCAGTCAGCTACCTGCCAATAAAAGTCCCAGCAAAATCGGTCCAGCCATACCAGAGATTAGCCAGTACAAAAGACAAAAATTGTAAAAAAAAAATTGTTTTTGTATGTTTATTGTACCTACATATATTCATATGCATGTGGCATAAAAAGTGGTTATTTTAATATTACAAACAGTATCGGTTTTCCAATTTTATTTATCTGTATGTTATGATTTAGAATATCCACAATATTGCACCCTTTTATCCCCTTAGAGGTATGCGGAGATGCACATATGTAATATAACACCCATTTTTCACAACTTACCCATGTAATAGAGAGCTCACTTATTGCCATACCTACATTGAGCACAATTCCTGAATTCAATCTAGATACCACTGAGCTATTTTCAAAAAACTACAATTACTACATGATTCAGGAATCAAACCTTTTATGAACTATGCCTTATAATTGTAAATTGCAATTTAACCCATAAATCACCAAGCGGTCACCGGTGACCGCTTTCCACTAATATTACATTACATTATAGACCTTATTTGTAATGTTTAGAGACTACTTTTGTATGACCAAATTTAGGGGGTGGATTTCAACGGGTTAAGCAATACCTATAACCCGTGGCACTTACATGTGCATGCATATTTGCCGACTAATGGATAACTCCATCACTATAATTTTAATTACCCCAAATGTGATGAAATATATAACGCAGTCACTGTTACTTTATAGACACGGTTCAGTAAAAATGTTCAATCACTAGTACTGTTTTATGTCACTAGCACACCGTAATTATTGTAGCAAGTCAAAAATTGTGAAGTCTTAAATAAAGTAGTTATTAGCAGCACTTGTGGTGTTAATGTCAAAGGTACTCCTGGAGCGCCATCCTAACAAACACAGGACCTGCTTTTGATGCTTGCACAAGACCAATGAGGCAAAGCTAAAAAAGAAGGCACTTTTGAATGTCAACAATAGAAATTTAAAAGTGAAGCTATTTGCTCATTCTAAAGCGTAAATTCCTATGGAGAAGAACGAGCAAGAAACTCCATAGGTTACTCTTTTCCAATCAGGTTCACAATACAATTCTCTAGTTACATACTTTTATTGGTTCGATTGTGCGAGAACAATGTAACACCAAAATCCAGTCAAAGGGCAATATGAACTAAAACAATATTTTTTATACATCCCGACATATGTTAGGTTTTTATAAAAATAAACTAATTCTAATCTAAATCGGTTCACAGATCAACATGTCGGAGACCAGTGAAAGTGACCAGCATGATAATGACATGCTGAGCATGTTTGCCAGCGTCTGGGTAAAGGTGGAAGTCGAGGAAACGGATGACAACCTGCCTGAGTTGGATCCTGATCAACAGGTTGAAGTGTAAGTACTGGGTAGTATATATATAACTCCGGTCATAATGCATACGAGAAGTTCATAATGTCCATAAGTCTTAACGGTCATAAGGTCATTGCTCACTTAAATTGAACAAACCCATGCGGCGACTTTGAAAGCTCATTGCCAGGGCTGTTGTCTTGGCAACAATGTATTGGTACTTTTGGTATTGGTAAAACAAGGCTTGGTATTCGTACCAAACCAAGTGTGGGAGAACCATGCTTGGCCACGAATGGGCCAGCTCGACCGGAGTGATTACCACGGCCTCACGCTTGCGTTGTGTTTCATCTTGTGAGTGAGCTTACCAGAGGCCCAATTACCCCGAGGCCCAATAGCTCCCTCTTTCCCCAATCCCTAAATCCCCAACAATCCTCAAACTCCTAATCCCAAAGGGACGGTAAAGCACTTGTAATGCCTCTGGTGTTCCAGGTGTCCATGCGCGGCGCCGATTGCTTACCATCAGCCGATTCGTCGGCTCGTTTACCGACTTACCTATAAAAAAAGCACCAAGCTAAGTGGCACACTTAGCTCGCCCAGAAATCTTAAAACATTTATAATATCCTACAGAATCTATGGAATGGGATTCAATCGAAATTCAACCAAAACACTGCCCAACAAAGGCCTCTCTCAGACCGTGCTGAAAACATGCTATGTTCATCAAACTGCTACCTATCAGTAATGATGATGTTGTCTTCCATTCGATAACTATGTAATTAACCGACTTCCAAAAGTAGAAGGTTATCAGTTTGACCTCTATTATATTGTGATATGGTTATAATTGGATATTTGAGTGTAATGATTTATTTGTACCAATCGAATTCTGGGTTGGGATTAGTAATACTGGGTTCTTAAAAATTCTCAGTAATAGTATGGAATCTGGAATTGTGCCCAGTATAGGGCAATAGGTTCACCCCGTATAACATAGGACTCTTAACATAAATAGTGAAAAATGGGTGTTACATTGTACAGTGGCATTAAGTGCTGTTATGTGCACCCATGTGTACTCCTTCGGGGATAAAAAGCTTGATGTTATGCTATGTGATCTATTTGTTTCCGAGCACCTTTGTGATTTGTTAGGTCTTCATTAGTGATAATCAGAGTATATTCTAACAACAGTGTTCATCACAATCAGTCAATTAGTTTTTGAGATATGATTTATTTTGGTTCACCATTTCTGCCAATGAGTGGGATAAAAAAATTCTTTCCTTTTTATGCCTTAATATAAAATTAACTCAATTTATTCTTTAATTCCAGACCGACCCCAAAAAAGAAGAAAAAGACACCTCGTCCGACACAGATTTTGAAATGTACGTTCTGTGAATATACAACCGTCTACAAAAACTGTTTGAAGCTTCATATAATGGGGCATAGCAACACTAAACCTTATTCCTGCGACACTTGCAACTATACTACCAAGTACCCAACCTCCTTGCACAGGCATATGATAATACAACACGACTTCAAAGTCACCGATCACCTACAAATGCAAGTCTACCAGTGTGAAATGTGTTCGTACTCATCCTATTTTAAATGGAACTTGAAAGCACATACAAGGAAACACACCGCTGAGAAACAGTACAAATGTGAGCAATGTAATTATGCTACTGCGTACAGACATAATTTTAATAAACATCATAAAGTTCATAATAAAGAAGAAATGATGTATAAATGTGATAAGTGTCCGTTTGTCACTAAATATGAAGGTCATATTGCCAGGCATTTGGCCAAAATTCACAATGAAGTGTCCGATAAGGCAAGGAAGTGTGATTTGTGTGATTTTTCAACGAAAGTCCAATGGAGGTTGAATGTTCATAAACGAAGAAGCAAACAGAACAGTGTTTTGAAGTGTACCTTCTGTGATTTTGAAACTAGTTACATGTGTGAGTCCAAAAAGCATAAATCGATGCATTTCGATGATGCACATGAAATAAAATTAAATGAATCAAGCGGAGAGATTACAGTTGGATCTGGACCTGGACCTGGAGTAGTAACGATACCGTTACCAGATGAGAATGGAACTGTTCATGAGAAGTTTCATAATTACACTTTGGACCCTAACTGTGAGATTGATTGGCATAACATAAAAGTTTTAGAATCAAATTGTAAAGATCGTCCGTTCCAATGTATCATGTGTAGTTATACATCAAGATTTAAGGCGTCCGTACAAAGGCATTTTCAACGGCACCACACTGGCAGCTTACACCGTCCATACAAATGTGTTAACTGTGATTTTTCCACAAAAACTAAAGATCAGATCGCTCTACACAACAAAAGAAGTCAGTCCGAGACAGAATTGAAGTGTGCGGAGTGTAATTATGTGACCTTTTTCAAATGTCAGTTTGCAACGCATCAAAAATGTCATTATGCACATAAGTGTCCCGACTGCAATTTTACTTGTAAACAAAAATATGATTATCAAAGGCATGTGGCTACAGCTCACACGGGGAATACGATGCAGTGCCGATTTTGTGATTATAAAGCGGTGAGAAAAGAGAGTTTGTTGTGCCATGAGACGATACACACTGGTAATAAGCCTTTTAAATGCAAATTTTGTAAATATACCACTGTCCGGAAATCTTTACTTGATAATCATTTGAAGCGGCGCCATACTGATGTTCTAAGGGAGCGTGTTATTGTGAATGATAGCAAAATTGAGTCGTTGAAAGTTCCTATGGAGAGTAAGGAAGCAGATGGTTTAAAAGAACGAAATATGAGTAAAGAGATAGGAGAAATAACTGATGAACAGAGTAGCCAAGATTTTGATGATGAGTCGATGTAGATTGTTGTAGATGTGTATGTTAAATTATGGCTAATTTTATCTCCCTAAAGGGGGTGATTTTTGCGGTAGTGATTTTAGTCAAATACGTGTGCGATACCCAGGCCAGATGTTGTCGAAAATGGCCATTTGAATCTTATAGATAATTAGTTGTTCGGCTTCTGTAATTGTTGCGCTTATAGTTTTTTGATTATTTCACAAAAACATTTTATAGCTAGTAATTATTTAAATATTCCCATTAGAAAGAAAACGGTCTGGCTGGGGTAACGTTATCCCAGCAGGAAATGTTTTTGTGAAAAAATTAAAAAACTATAAGCGCAACAAATTTAAAAATGTGCGCAACAATTACACAAGCCGCGCAACTAATTATCTATAAGATTCAAATGACTATTTTCGACAACATCTGGCCTGGGTAACAGACACGTCAAATACGGGGTTTTGAAGTTTGAAATGATCTAAGGGTTTATCGACGACGATTGGCTGGCTCCAATAAACCAACCAATCGTGAAAATTCGTACTAAACCGTCAGGGCCTATTCTCAATGGTTACGCCAGAAATCGGTTACTAGCCATCAAACCTCCACAGATGGGGCCCAACAGGGCTGATGCCGATACGGAGCCGCGGAAGACTTAACGGGTTACCGGAGCTCCGGCTCGAGGTGCAGGAGTAGGAGGAACGGGGTAGTTTTTAGTCAGTAAGAGTCTGACACTTCCTCTCGCCTCACCCGGGCGGGACCAGCCATTGGATGATTTACCCCCTCAAAAAAAAAAAAGATATCGGTTGCTAAGTCAGACATAGATTCTCAATCTTATTACAAATGCATATGATTGAAAATCCATAAAAGAAACTCACTACTTGACTGTCCTTATTCCAAGTTACTTTTACTTGGCAGTCGGTGCAATATCATAGTCTTCCATTCTTCTCTATCAAACTATTGCTTAGACCTTAGACCTATGAAATAGGTCTAAAATTACAATTTTTAGTGTGAAACCCGAAAAATTCGGTAGTGATTCATTTCTGCCTCGTTGGGCGAGTGGTCGTAAGTGCCACTGGCGGGCAACGGGTATCAGGTTCGATTCGTGTGCGTTACCCAGGCCAGATGTCGAAAATGGTCATTAATATGGTCAATAATTAGTTGTACGGCTTCTGTAATTGTTGCGTTTATAGTTTTTTAATTATTTCACAAAAACATTTCCTGCTGGGGTAACGTTACCCCAGCCAGACCTTTTTCTTTCTAATTTATTATTAATTTTATCTATTTAAATAATTACTAGCTATAAAATTAGTTAGACAACTTTTAGTTGGACAACTAATTTTAGAATAAAATTTTGTAGCTTATTTTGTATTAGTTCTTTCATCGGTTACGAAGTTATTCGAGATTTTGCTGGGGTAACGTTTTTGGTTTTGCTACCTGTCTGGGTAACGGACACGTTCAATTACCGGGTTGGGCAAAGTATTAATGGGCTTTTATAAAAATTCTCAGTAGTAACACGGAGTCTGGAAATGTGCCCGGTATATGGCAGTAGGTTCACCCCCTATTACATGGGACTCATAACATAAATAGTGAGAAGTGGGTGTTACATTGTACAGTGGCATTAAGTGCCGTAAATTGCACCTCTGCCTACCCCTTCGGGGGTAAAAGGCGTGATATTAATATGTATGCTTCATTTCTGAAAACCATGTTTAATGTTTTGATTGCTGCTTACCATGAGGAGATCCGTCTTCTTGTTTACCGACCCATACCATAGAAAGAGGAGTTTTGTATATGGCAATAGGCTCACTCCCTATTACATGAGACTCATAACATAAATAGTGAAAAGTGGGTGTTACATTGTGTATGTGCACCTCTGTCTACGGAATCATGCAATAATAGATGTTAAACGATAGCTAATTCGGTCGAAATTCCTAATATTTTTATTAGCAATTTACTTATAATGAATATTAAGAATTTTTCAAGAATATTGGTAAATCCTACATTTGTTAAGTTACGAAAGAGATTTAATTTTTTGTTTTTAAGTTTAAGAATACTGTGTAAATATTAGAATTAAGAAATAAATGTTCTTGCTTTTACTAAAATTGGAGAATTTTATTTTATTTTCGTCATACAAATTACCTTTGATTTATCTTCTTTGTTGGTCGATTCTCAGGCTGGTTGCCGTGAAATCTATTTCGTTTTCGTCCCGAAGTAAAATGGTTCTGTCTCGGTAATACAATAGTTTTACAAACAAATAAAATGTTTAAAACAAAAAATAACTGGAGAACCATTGCAAAAAGCAAACTTCGAAAGCGCATACGAACTCCTAGTAGGTACATTTTACATTATCAAAACATCACGCCGTGTGATTCTCGAAGAGGTATTTCTCGTCGGATGGGACGAGCGATGCGAATAGTGCTACTTTATATCTAGTGTCCCGTAGAAGATTAATATTCGTTATGGCAAGTTATTTTGCTGCGCAACGAAAACAAAATAGATTTCACGGTGTAAAGATTCTTGTTTCGAAGAGCAACTGCTGAACACGATGTCTCGGATTCCACGTCGAGGCCAGGTTACTTCAATTTCGGAAATATCTCATGAATAAGTAGGATCAGTTCCGTTATACTAAATCGCTAAATCGATTGTGATAAAATTAAGGAAATAGTAACAATCAATGTTGCTACACACCATCGTAGTTTTCTTCTCAGTATAATGATTCTAGCGTATGACATTCAGACCACCACAGAAGGGCCCATTAGGGCTGATGTCCAATACGGAGACGCGGAAGGCCTAAAGGATTGCCGAGGTTCTGGCTCGAAGAGCAGGAGTAGGAACGGGGTGGTTTTTAGTCAGTAGGTAAGAGCCTGACACTCCCTCTCGCGTGTGCGTTACCCAGGCCAGATGTTGTCGAAAATGGTCATTTGAATCTTATAGATAATAATTAGTTGTGCGGCTTCTGTAATTGTTGCGCACATTTTTAAATTTGTTGCGCTTATAGTTTTTTAATTATTTCACAAAAACATTTCCTGCTGGGGTAACGTTACCCCACCCCTGCGGAGGTATGTGATGTATTCGCCATTGATATTGGTGTCCCTTCGTCCAGCATACTCACCATGGAATCCTGATATTTCATGAATGTCAAAAAACTGTTCTGAAATAGTGCTAAATAGTGCCCAAAGGAAAAAAATAGTGCTCTTGTACTTGCGAAGTTATAGCCATAGTTCGATGAGTATGCTGGACGAAGGTTTCGCCCAGCATACTCACCTCCGTCCGGAGAATCTGTATACGCTTCAAACATAATTCATACTTCAAAAAATAGTTCCCAAATAGTGCCAAACGGTGCCCAAAAAGAAAAAACAGTGCTCGAATAACTTCGGAGTTATAGGCTTCGTTCAGTGAGTATGCTGGGCGTAGGTTCTACGCCCAGCATACTCACCTCAGTGCGCGAATATCGAACGAGCTATAGGTACAATTTACGTCTCAAAAAATTGTGCTTGAAATAGTGCCCAATATCAGTCCAATTTTTGCTTGACTTTTGAC